GCTTGCCAGGCATGCACTTATTCAACAGAGCTATCTCCCCAGCCCCCACTTTTTTTTTTTTTTTTTTGTGATTCATTCTTATACTGGGCTTTGGACATAATAGAGCTGGGACCACCGTACATGTTTACAAAACAACACAACCCTCTTCCATCAGGTCGCCCAACAAAACATTGTTACTTACAGACATTGGCAGGGAGTGAGCAGAAAACAGAATGACCACCTCGCTTCTCTTCTCAAGTGGAAAATGGTCCAGTTCTTTGAGAATGTGGTCCGCAAAGCACTGCAAGAATCCCCGGAAAGGTGGGGAGGGAGAAGTGGGAAGAAAGAAATGGAAGAAAAGAAGGGATTTCAAAACTGAGAGGTATACCAAAAATCTGGAAGCAACCCTCGAAAACCAGTACACTTTTTTAAAAAAATTACCAACAGTACAGTCTCTTTGCTTTGGTTCATCATCAAAATGGATCGTAACGGTTTCAGGGGCCAAGGGAATTTGATGGGAAACTTCTAAAGCTTGCTAATGGCTCACTGCAAATGAACGCTGTGGATCTGCCTCCCCTCGGGAAGAACAGGGCACACTTCCAGATGGAAAGGAAACGCAGATGGGAAGAAGTTGTTTTAAGACCTTCATTTGCTCTGTTAGCAGGAAAACAGCTTACAGGGTCTTTCTAAATCTTCCTTACTTTGGCTTTCAGTCACACTAAAGTACATTAGCCAGAAATAGGAGAGAAATAAGAAAATACTCGTCTATTTTTATGACTTCTTCCTGAGTCTAGGATCCTCCCGCAGGCAGTCTTCCTCACAGGCTGTACAATCCCTATTAAATGCAGAGGGGAAACAGATATGCTGGCCCTGAGCATCCGGGCCCCCACTGAGGAACCGGGGTGCAACACAGGCCATGCCTCCACCACAACCCTGCCAGCCAGAGCAGTTCCCTCCGGCCTCCTCGCCCCTTCCCAGCATGCCAAGGCCTGCTGAAATGTCAGATCTGAAGGAACTTGCTTTCACTGCACACTTGAATCATTCTTTGTCATTTCATTTGCAGAGAAAGTGCTACCAAGGACAGTACTAGGCCACCCAACAAAACCAGGATATGAATGGAAATTAGATAAAAACTAGATGAGAGATGAGCATCGATGTTAAATTTGCTGATGCCAATGCCGATTTTAGTTTAAGACAACAGCCCTGATCTTGAGAAGGAGATCCAGGGCCCGGGAGATGGCTCAGTGGAATAAACACTTCCCTGGCAAGCACAAGGGCCTGAGTTCAATACCCAGTGCCACCAAAAAAGAAAAAAAAAGAGATCCTCAGTCATTCAGGTGAAGAGAAGGCAAGATACATACAACTTAGTCTCAAGTGGTTCAGAAAATATATGTGTATATGTGGTAAAGGTTAATTACATGAATATAGGTAAAGAGCAGATGAGAGCTCCTCCTTATTCTAGTCTTAACCTAACTTTCTGCATCTCTGAAATTATTCCTAAGTAGGATTTTTAAGAAATTATAAAAGTAATTTACCAGAACCATATACATTTGCTCTTGCTGTTATTCTGATATATCAATGGTTAGTCGCTATTTACCATAGGATGCATAAATCAGCCTCTAAGACATGTTGGCATATTAATCATTCAGTAACTCTCAAAAATTTAGTAAACATGCGCCAAGACACAAAATGGTGCCTCAAGGGAAGCTCCGTGAGCAGAATTTATAATTTATCTAGGAGAATAAATGGGATAGTATTTGATACAAACAAAACCATATTTTCTGGTGGCCTCTGCAATGGCTAGAAACTAAAGATGCTCAGAAAGGGCTGCTGTTGGACAGCAGGAGGCCTGCAAAGCTTATGTAGGGGCCTGAGATAAATGTACTCTCATCATTCTGATAATTGGATGAATAGGAATATTAGAGATAACAATAGTAAAATTATTATTTTCAAGTGATGTGGATTAAAAGCAATATTTTTAGTTTTCACTCATATTTTTAGTTTTAATTTGGGTTTTAGTTTCTTCATTTTCAAAAAATTTCCCATCTCACCCAGAGTTTGGGGGCTTTTGTTCTCCTTTCCTCAGTTTGCAAAACCGCACACAAGTGCACAGCTCCCTGTGGCTCGCAGCCCTCCGAGCCACCGCCAGCACGGAGGCCAGCGCCCTGGGCGGGCGCAGCAGCCGCACCGCAGCACCCAAGGCCCATCTGCGGAATGAGAGGCCCGGCTCTCAGAGCCTTCAATCACACGGCCAGGAGGGCGGGCAAATGCCTCTAAAATTCCCTTTCATTTTATGAACAGAGACTTCCTCAGTTAAGAGACCTTTCCATCTTTCTGCTTCCCGGTTTTCAAAGGGCTGAATTTTAATGCAAATCTAATTACTCCCTCGATCAGCGCAGGCAGATGCTGTGCAGATCCCCGCTCCTCGCTGGATGGCTCGCTCGCGCACCACATGTCGGGGCTGACCTGAAACCCGCTGCTTCCGCACGGCCTCCGGGAGCCGCAGGAAGGCACGCAGGCCTCTGGGGCCGCACCGCTGGACCCAGCGCGGCCAAGGGTGGGGACACCCAGCCCTCAGCGAGGTCCTTTCCACCCCTGACTTATACTGGAGTTCAGCCTCCGGCTTAACCCCTCGCAGGCCCGCGGCACACCATTCCAGGAAGAGGGGGCCGATTTTAGTGATGTCTAGCACCATCTAGTGGTTACAGATTTGAAGTGCCATCAGGCTTTTTGAACCATTAAAGGCATTATTTTGCCAGAGGTCGAAGAAAAGTCAAAGAATTAAAAAATAAAGTGGATGAAATCTAAATCACTTCCTATTTATCCCACGTAAAATAACTTAAAATCTGAAACGTCTATGATGGAATAAAACCATCTGCATGATTTGGACAACATTTTACTTTCTAATATTAGACAGGCAGAAAAGAATAAAATTACACCAATTCAAAGATACTGCTTTCAGAGCGGTAGTTTTAATTGATTCTCCTAGCACTGAGCACCTACTAAGATTACAAGTTGTACAGAAGAAATGTGAAACTACTTTTAACCTATGAAGCTTTTCTCCATCGAAATAGTAAATTTAATTTCATGTTTCAGAACATGTTTACATACTAAATTTTCATAAAATCTTCTGATTTTGCAGAGGGTTTAGAAAATAAAGGGTTTCCTTGTCAGTCACTGAATGTATGACTGTAACTTAGCTGAGACAACACGTGCAATAATCCTTAACATTCTTCTGCTCTCCAGGAACCCAAACCCCAAAATCTAATTTTGTTACCACTGGACACTAACAGCAGTACTAAGAGTGTCACTATTTTAATCTTTAAATTTTCTCTTTTTTATAAAAAGTAAAAAGCGTAACATCTTTTGAAACAATCTGCAGCATGGACTTTAGGTGAGAGAACAGCAGGGCTCCGAGGGACACCACAAAGCACGCAGGGAAGAGAGCTGACCGATCCGACGCTGGGCGACAGCGGGCAGCCACCCGGCAGCCACCAGCTCACCTGGATGAGGAGCGGATGCGTGGGCCACCTGTCAATAGTGCTCCACTTCATGGTAGGCTTCTTTCCCATCCCATGATAGTACCTATAAATGGCATTTAAGCTGCTGCCTGAAATATACAGCGGGGCAATTAATTGATACATTTTGATTATGGAGAAAATGAAACAGACTTATAAAGGCAGTAATTGTAAGTTCAAAGTAGGTAACTGCTTCTATGCAGAATCCCAGTCTAATTACAATCTTTTCAATACTTTAAAATGCATATGGATTTAACAACCCTGCAAATGAAGATCACTAAAAGGCAATCAATTCCAACAGACCTGCACTGATTATTGCGGCCATTTTTAGCGAGAAACCTGAAGTCCCAGATTTATGAAACATCAGCGGTTGTTATTCTCAGGGATCAAGTCTCACAACTAAAATCACATTAACATTTTTTCTATTATGAAGGTGATCAGCAGCAGTACAGAAAATGTACAGGGTGAAGAAGGAAGGAGAAAAGAAATCAGCCATTGTGCTAGCGTGCTAATAACGACGCTGTTGTGTCCTAGCACAGCGGTTTCCAGTTATCTTTCTAGCTGCTTTGTTTTACAAAGGTGTGATGCTGACATATATGCAACACTGTTCATACAGACCCTGGGTGTTTGGGCTGACACTGTGAGGTATTTTCCATGCTATAATAAAAGCTTTAGAACTAACCTCTTAAACAGCGTCAGAAACTAAGGCAGGCAGCCTACTGAAATTTTCACAAGCACTATTTTATCTATTTCTACAAAATTATCACCATTCCCTAGAATAAGTTAAATGGACACAAAATCCTTACAGTGAGCTAACAAAATGTGTATTTCTAAGAGAGAGAGATGGAAACCACGAATACAGGGAGCCAGATGGTGCCAACACAAAGCAGCTTTTTCCTCGCCTGGAGGAGACAGCCCTAGGGGCCAGACCTAACCTGAAGAAACCAAGCTGCATGGGGTCTTCTCCTTCTGTCTTAACACAAGGCAGGTTGCCACTCCTCGGCACACCTCCTACGGCCAGTCCACTGGCTTCTCAAACCACAAGAGATATCAGTCTGTTAAGTTCCTAGTTTAAAAGCCTTGTCACAACTGAGTCCATTTTAACTCAAATGAATGCTCAGCTTAAAACTCAATTTGCAAAAAATAAAAAAAAAACGGAATCAATTTTTGTGAGCAGAATAAAGTGAGTCAGGAGAACCTATTCAAGGATCAAAAACAATCCTTCTAGAAATCCAAGTAGTCATCACCATATTCACATTGCAAATTGCATTCTACAAGTGAAAGTCATTTTCAGATATAAAGAAAGACTTCTGGGAGCTACAATAGCTCTTTCAGGCCATTTGGAAGCACCCAATAATCTAACCAGAAGCATAATTAAAGAGGACAGTATAGCTGAGTAAAGGGCTTGTGACAGATACGTGGTATCTCTCTGACATCACAGCACCTGTCAGTCTGTGTCTACATGACACTCTGGTGGCCTAAAGGAATAAACGTTCCCCAAGGCTTTTGTACCTCAGAAGGTAAACCTGTCATTTCACACATCATGCCCTAAAGCAGTGAGGTGAACCTTTTAGAGACTGAGTTCCCAAACTGCAGCCCCAGGCCCCCTTATTTATCACAAAGTGCCAACACTGCAATTAAACCTGAATATCGAAGCCTGGCTGCTGGACTGGGCGATGTCGGGGCAATCTGGCTTGGACTCTGACAGGGGGCTCCGCGTGCCCACGGGGGCATGTGTGCCACAGGTTTGCTACTAATGCACTAGAGACAAACTGAGCACACCTGTAGGAGCCAGACATGGAATTGAATCCATAGCCAATCCTCTGTCAGAAAAATAATCTTCTTAACTGAGGTATATTTTTTAAAGTAAGACAACAGTATAGCTTGAAAACGCTAAAATCTGATTCACCTCCAGTGATATGTTACCAGGTATCTCGAAGTTACAGGAGTATATTTCCAAAAGAAGTCATGATTTACATTCCTAAAGGTTATATGAGAAAACAAGCATTTTAACGAGTGTTCTAAACAAATATATTAAGGCACACAAGAGGCTCCTGATGTTCCAGGAGTCTTCTGTCTTCCTTGCAGTTATAGAAATAATTAGCACTGATATCTAAAAACAAATTGGGAGTGAAGATGTGCTGACATCAGTCCTTGAAACTGAATGCAAACAAGTATCTGCAGGTAACAGTGAAAGTGTCTCTAGAGGTAACAATACAGGCATCAAGCAAAGATGGTTCTCTGGCATCAGCGAGATAGATGGAGAACAGCAAGCAGTAACATTTTCTCAGATCCTAAAGAATACCAAGGAAAGCTTGCAAAGAGAACTACAAGCTAGGTTTTAGTTTAACCAACAAACAATTAAAATGAAGCACAAAATTATACCCAACCCCCCCCCCAGTATTTCCTGTGTTACATGAGCATCAATGCTTTCAAAATCACTTCCCTAGCAAGCACAAGGGCCTGAGTTCAATCCCTGGTTCCAAAAAAAAAAAAGGAAAGAGCTATCACTTTGGCTACATTAACATCAGTCTCACCATAAAAATAAAGTTTGATACAAACTAGCAAGTGGCTCAAGGTTCACTATTGACCCATTATCCAGCCACGTCAAAGCACTGAAGCCCTGCAGCCACCACTTTCCACCACCATGGGAATTCTCAGCTGTCCAGGAACAATTCAAGGAGCAGAAGCACCTCGAGATTCCACGTGGAATGAGTAGAATGTTTAACAGATAGGCGAGACAGGTCACGCAAACCACAAAGGATGATTTAAGTCTTCCTTTACCATGCAGACCGCCTAGTTACCTTCACAAGGGCCACAGCCACCTTCCCACCACCACAGAGGTACCCTCACCTGTGGTCGAGCAGCTATACTGTGGATACTGCGTGAACGCGATAGCCCTCTGCAGCCCATCGCTCTCCATCTCCTCAATTGCTTCTTCCGTTAAAGGATGCACATACCGGAATCCAATATAGTATTTGTGAGGAGCTATTAGCAAGCACAAGTGGAAAAGAGAAGGTATTAATCTTTACATAGATTCTTCACCGCCACCAAACATAATAGGACACCCTGAGGAGAGAGCAGTTAACCTCCCTTCCGATCACACTAACAATGCAGCCAAGTTTAGAAGGCTGCTTGGCCTTTATCTGTTCTCCAGCTAGGCTGAGGACTTTTACTCGCTATTTCATGGGATCATTACCCTCACTTACACAACTTTATTTAGCATAATGGTTTTTAAAACCCAATATTCTTTTCTTAATTTTCTGTTCTTGACTGGAACAAAAGAGACTCAAGCGAAGTGAGGGGGAAACTAGCACTCTTAACATCTAGCTCTTCTTGCTCACTCCTCTCTGAAGCTCCATTTTTTCAGATAAGGAAATAGAAACGCTGAAGGCTAACTGACCTGCCCAAGGCCATGGCTGCAGAAGGCCCAGCTGCAGCTGCCACCTAGGTCCCCAACACAAGGCCCACGATCCTGCCACACTCCCACCTGTTCCCATCATCCAGTTCTCTTAACACTCCAGGTCATCTAGATTATTAAACAAATGCAAAATCTCTAGGACTCAAAGTATACAGATAAAACAATGCTCAAGTTGGAGGCTTCAAGTGCAATGTAAAGTGACTGTTCTTGGCCCAAAAATGGCTCAGAGTTTTAATGGAGAGTTTTGTGTTTCTTCCCCTTTCTTGGTTTCCCAACTCCTCTTTCTATTGTTTTTATCTTTGGGCATTTCGGAAATATACACATCATATAACTGCTCAGGCATATATAAAATCATAAAATTAAAAATGTCCTGAAGTTGCCTGATCTTGTTTCCTTCCCTCTTAAAAGATTAAACAAAACTTATACTCATGATACTGAGAATACTCTACACAAACATCAAGTAATCATAAAACCAAGACAATGTTATTATCCAAAACATTTGTAGGGGCTGCAGTAAAGAAGACAACAAAAAATTGGCACAAGAAGTAAGTGAGCTTCCGCCACAGCAACCATTGAAAAAGAGTAGCCATGGCCCTCTGCTATCCCACGGCTGTGGGCCTCAACAAGGGCCACAAGGTGACTAAGAATGTGAGCAAACCGAGGCACAGCCGCCGCCGCGGACGTCTCACCAAACACACCAAGTTCGTGCGGGACATGATCCGGGAGGTGTGCGGCTTTGCCCCCTACGAGCAGCGCGCCATGGAGCTGCTCAAGGTCTCCAAGGACAAGCACGCCCTCAAGTTCATCAAGAAAAGGGTGGGGACGCACATCCGCGCCAAGAGGAAGCGTGAGGAGCTGAGCAACGTGCTGGCCGCCATGAGGAAGGCAGCTGCCAAGAAGGACTGAGCCCCTCCGGAATAAAGCTTTGCAGAAAAAAAAAAAAAAAAGAAGTAAGTGAAAGTGAAAGAAAAGACAATTTATCATTTGTATGGGTGTATATACATATATATAATTTAAATATATTAATATATATATACATACATGGATATGTCATGATCTGTGCCTAGATGTCCCCCAAAGTCTCATGCAGTCTTTGGGGTGGGCTTCTTAGTTTCATGGTCCAGTGCCGGGATTATGGGCATGAGTACTACACTTACACTGGGGCGGGTAGCCTGCATACCATATAAGACAGGGGGAAAGGCCTGCTCTCTTGCTCCCTCCTTTTTGCTTTTGTTGCTTTTCCTGTCTCCTGCAGCCATAAACTGCTGCCCTCTGCCATGTACCACTCTGCCATGGAGCCAGCTGAGTATGGACTAAAACCTCCAGTAACTGTGAGCTAAATAAACCTTTCCTTCCTTAATTCTGGGCATCAGGTGTTCTGTCTTAGCAACAAGAGAAAAGTAATCGAGACAACACACATGGAGAATATGACCCATAGTTTGATCCATGAACTATGAAATAGCAGAATGTATTACTAGGGCTAGGAGCTTAGTTATCAGTAGGTGAGAGAAGCACGGATGTCAGTGGAGAGCATGAGGTGATTCAGAATTCACCCACAGCAGTCTAGAAAGAGAACAAGGAATACAAGAGGGCCCTTCTAGGCCTTTCTACCTGAATGTCCTCTTGCATAAAATAGGTGGAACTAAAGCATATCAGTGGATACGACCCTATAAGCAAAGAGACATCTCACACCATGAGACGGCTGTTGACTATGTGTTTTGTATTTTTGAGCTGCTCACATTCTCAATATCATGAAGCCCCCCCCCCTTTTAAATGTATTTGGTTGTTACAGGGTCTCGCTACACAGCTCAGACTCATAGTGATCCTCCTGTTTTCAGCCTCCCCAGGGCTCAGATTACAGGCTTAAACCACGACACCCAGACTCTGTGGCTGGCTCAGCCTGATTTGGGGACAGGGCTGGAGCAGTATGTGGTGCTGGGGATCAAACCGTGGTCCCTGAGCTTGCCTAGGCAGGTGCTTTTCATCCTGAGCTATCTCACTGGCCCCATGAAGTCCTTTTTAAGTAACCCTTGGCAATTCAAGCTAAGGTTACCAAGCTGGTGGAAACCACTTTCCAATCTACTTTGAGACATTACAATTACCAAACGACTGAGTGAGTCCCCTGATGTTGCAGGTCAACCAGTTTTTTACAACATCTTTTCAACTGCCCAGTATTTGAAAATTGCAGTCTAAGAGCCTCAGGCCCAGAAGTTGCTCAAATAGCACAGACTTAAGAGTAGAAAGACTGCTCTAGCTAATGAAGCCAAAGTGGGTAAGCACACTTGGAAGCAAGCAAGAATAAAATATCCTGGGAAGAATGGATAATGCTTTCTAAAGGCCTGAAAACACATATTTTAGAAAAAGTGGCAACGCACTCCAAAGTAGGCCATGCTGAGAACCCGGCAAGTGTGTTCACATAGGATCCTGCAGGTCAGCCACGCTGGTCAGCCTGCTATTGCGGGTTGTGCAAGGCAGGACACATGGAGAAGATGCCTCTAACTTCCGACCAGTGATGCCTAAACACAACTCATGGACCTCATCCAGTCCCTCTGAGCAGCTGCCTAGTGCAGGCTTTCATGAGAACAATGAAAAGACCAAAAAAAAAAAAAAAAAAAAAAAAAATTGGATTCATTTAGCGTACACAACAGTTTCAATGTGTGCCATAATTCTTCAAAAGAAAGGTTTAAATTATGGAATATGATGTTTTTCAGTGTGCATCAGATCATGAACTCTATACTAATGATAAGCACTAAAAACTCAGAGTTAGTGAATTTTTACATGTACCATGTACCATTATAAAGACCTTTCTGGATCATCTTATTTAATTTCTGCAACGGACCCAGGAGCACATCCTGCTCTTCTCCCCTTTGGAGATGAGGCTTAGGGAAGTAAGAACAGTGCTTGAGGTCACACACCCAGCAGGGGAGGCTGGCATCAGCCACGCCAAATCCGCAGCTCCTACCCCCTATGCACCCTAGCTACATTAAAAGCAGTCACAGGCCAAAGAATTAAAGCATAATAAAAAACATATTTTAGACTTAGACTTTTTATTAAAGGATTCCATCTATCATTTATTTCCTTTTGTTTTTGCTACTGTAATGCACTGTAACTATGAAAAAGCATTCCCAAGTCATATCCCTGCTTTAACTCAATACAACAGTTAACTGATCAATTCTACACAAGGCCAATGCAAGCCTCAAAATTTCTATACTTGGGCTGGAGAGATGGCTCAGTGGTCTAAAGCACCTACTTAGAACAAGCTAAGCAAAGCACAGGGACCATGGTTCAATCCCCCAGCACCACATGCCAGCCAGCCCCGCCCCCTGGTGGGCTGAGCTGGCCACACACACATACACACAAAATAAATTAACAAATAAAATAAAATAATTTAAAAAAAAAAATTTCTATACTATCAAGCAAAAACTATGCCTCTAAAACAACAGCACAAGACTTTTTTTATCTATTTGCAATTGTCATCTTTTCTTGCTTAAAATTTCGTAACTGATAAAAACAAATAGACACATTCAATCCCTGGTTCTGGCAAAAAAAAAAAAAAAAAAAAAAAAAAAAAAAAAAAAAAAAAACAAATAGACACAATTCAAAAGTTAACTTTGTGGGGCTGGTAAGATGGCTCAGTGGTCTAAAGCACCTACTTAGAACAAGCTTAGCAAAGCACAGGGACTGCGGTTCAATCCCCAGCACCACATGCCAGCCAGCCCCGCCCCCCGGTGGGCTGAGCTGCCCTACACACACACATAAATAAATAAAATTTTTTAAAAAAAGTTAACTTTGTAATGTATAGGAAAGAAAAGAATAATAATATCTTCATCCAGTTTCTGTTGCTATAACTGAATACCAGAGACTAGGTAATTACAAAGAATATTGGGTTCATGTGGCTCACAGTTCTAGAGACTAGGAAGTCAACGAGGAGATCATCAGGTAAGGGCCCACTGCTGTGCTCTGACATGACAGGGGCATCATGTCAGGAGACAGAGGATGCGCTATACTTGGTTCTCTCTTCTTCATACAAATCCCCTGAAGCCATCATGGCAGTCTCCCCACTGTGGTCTCAGCTAGCTCTACTTACCCCCGAAAGGACCAACTTCAAACACCATTAACATGAATTGGAAGATTAAGTTTCTAATATGTGAATTTTGGAGACCACACACAGAACATGGAAAGGAAGAGAAATAAATAGTAAGAGCAAAACATAAAGAGGGTGAGAAAGGGAAATGATGCTGGTCCCTCTCAAAAGGAAGGAAGAATATGGGAGTAGGAGAAAAATCAAGTTATATCATATACAGGTACAAATTCCCTATAATGAATATGATATTATGCACACCTAACATGTACTAATAACTTAATTAATAAAAGCATTTGGACTCTATTGCTTGCTTCATGCCCACTCAGAACAGTGTGAGCAGTGGGACGAGAAGCAACTTCCTGGGCAGTCTGGAGAGCTCCTGAGGGAGCTGTAGAGCCCCACCTCATGGGCTTTGCAGAAGTCCCCACACTTCTGAGAACATTCCATTTTTTTACACCCTTCCAGTCTGTGTGTTCATCAGCCCTCACACATTTCAGGTACCATCTCCCCAGTAAGTCTCCAAAAGAGCTTTTTCTCTTAGTAGACTTCCAAAAGCAGCAAGCGCCACTGAACCAGAAACTTCTTATAAGTAGGAACCATGGTTTTCAACTCTCAGCAGCATGGGGTGCTGCTGCAGAATGAATGAACAGATGGTCCAGTACCAATAGCCGCTCCGGATTAGCAGCCTGCTCCATAAACTTCCAAGACCCACAGACAGCAGAGCTGGCCCCTCAGAGAGATGACTGTTCACACTAATGAAAACTACCGGGCAAGTTGTTCCATGAGGGTGAGGTGTGACCAACTTACTACTCTGTCCCTCAGCACTACTCCTGACAGGTGGGCGGTGCTGGTACAGATCTGGTGGTTGGTGGGGTGCACGACGGATGAACGGATGTGGGAATTTTTGATTGACTGATTTTGGTGGAATCGGGGATTGAACTCAGGCCCTTGTGCTTTCCAGGGAAGCACTTACTCTACTGAGCCATCTCCCCAGCCCCGGATGTGGAAATTTTTAAGTGGAAGAATGGGTGAGCATGTGGCACATGAATAGTGTGAGCAAAGGAAGACAATTAGGAGCGATTCAGTGGCCAGACAGGCAAGCACTCAAACTGACTCACACACCATGAATACCTAAAACTTAGCCCCAACATTATAATAAAAAGTAATGGGCCATTTAAAATAAGTATGCAGGGGCCAGGGAGATAGCTCAGTAGAATAAGCACTTGCCTAGCAAGTGCAAGGGCCTGAGTTCAATCTTCGGCTCTGCAAAAAAAAATATATACTAAAATACACAGATGTTCAACAGTCAGGGGTCCACTGGGTTAATCCCAAGCTGTTTGATGGATTCTGTCCAGCCAACCTGTGAGGTGGCAGCCACAGCTGACCTAACTGGTCTGGACAATCCAACAGCTCACCATAGAGCACAAAAAGGTAGATGGAGGTGGAAGGATGCCCCTGTTTCTCTTCCTGAGGTCTGACATCTTTGTTAAGTTCTTTAGGGTAACATGGAAACAGAAAAACAATGGCACTTTTCTGCCTCTTCTTTCCAACAGATAAAGTACAAGTCCAATTCATACTAAATCTTTTATCACAATAAGCTGTTAATAACAGGGTTTGTTCTCTACCAAGTAGGGGAAGTACAAGGCACCAAGCTTCCCTCTGCCAACACTGTGGCATGTGTGTGCGGCTAAACCCTCCAAGAAATCCCCTTGAGCCACAAGGAAAGACAGGACACAAATTTAATATTCAGAAGCACAACTGAACAATTTTCCAAGTGACATGATTTGCTGAGCAACCTCAGTCCCTTTGTGTAACAGGAAATGCTTGGGTCTGAGGGTAATTCTAGCTGATGTTCAGTGATGGTGTCTCAGAGAAGAGAAATGCTTCTCTCGGTCTTGCCTCACAGGGCTGTTGGACAGTTTCCCTAGCATCACACACCTGTCCTGGGTCCTCAGGCCCTAAAATGGCAGTGAATGTACTTCAAGTCCCCTAACATGCATATTTTTCAATTTTAACATTTTTCATGTTCAGCCACATTTAAAATAGAGTCTTAAAATCAATCAGCAATGTTTATGTGACTTAATATTATGCAAAAATAGTGTGCCCTGGGCCAGGGATATAGCTCAGTGGTCTAAGCACTTGCTTGGCAAGCACAAGGCCCCAGGTTCAATTCCCAGTATCGCATGCCTTGTCAGCCCTGTGCCATGCTGGCCTGCAAAACCAGGCATAGTGGCGCATGCCTATAATCCCAGTGCTGGGGAGGCTGAGACAGGAGGATCACTACGAGTCTGATCTGTGCAGGGAGACCCTGTGCCAAAAAAAAAGTAGTGTGTCCTACAATCAAGTGTGCCTTGAGCACAATTAAATATGGCATTTGTAGTTCACGTGTGCATTTAGGGTTGCATTCTGCACACAAACAGGGCTGTTACCACGGGCACAATCCTCTTTTTCTGCCATGTCCAATGCACTGCTTCAACATCTGCCAAAGGTAGTACTGCTGAGAGCAGAAAGCAATCACAGAAAGTTGCTTAGTGTCTCTGGTGTCAGCAACAGCTAGCTCATTCAGCTCTAAATGTTGATCTAATCAGCTATCCAACCACAAAGGAAGGCCCTAGCTGCAGGCTCAATCCATGTCCCAAAGATTTCAAGTACAATGAGATATGCACCTTCTATTCACCTTGCATCATTTTTGCCTTAAAATCTAGCTCAACTTAAAGCCTTGAAATAGTGCTCTACATTGCAGCTGTTTTACTTGTAACATAGCACAAATAGCAAAGGCTCTATAGTAAAAGGATAGCGCCTCAAGAACTCAGGTAAGTGACTGTGTTTTCTAGAGAAACTCACAAATCAAGAGTTGGCATGAGGGCTGGGGACATGGCTCAGTGGAATAAGCACTTCCCTGGCAAGTACAAGGGCCTGAGTTCAATCACCGGTTCCACACTCCGCCCGCCCCCCCCGCAAAAAAAGAGTTGCACAACCAACAGCATTTGGCATCCATTGCTGTTTGGAATTTCACAACTACCCTGAGAGACCAACGGTAGCACTATGTCAATGAGGACACATCCTACCTGTGTCTGGGGACAACTCGTCCAGCAGCTTCACCATGCCTTCTCCTTGTGTGGAAGTCCACATCTTGATTGGTGATCCACCTCCAATCCTGCGATACTGTTCTTGAATTTTGGGGGTTCGCCGTTTGGCGATGAATGGGGCCAGCTTGCTAGATCATTGAACATGTAGGTAAGTGGGTTTTAGTCCACCTTAACACCTGAGAAACATTTTCTACTCAATAAAAAAGATAAGCAAAATTGTAAGTAAAACCTAGCAAGAACAAGCCTTTAAAAACAGAAGCTAGAAGGTTGGGGAGATAGCTCAGTGGTCTAAGCACCTGCCTGTTAAGCGCAAGGACCAGGGTTTGATCCCCGGTACTGCATGCTGTGCCGCCCCGAGCTGCATAGTGAGGCCCTGTGCCAAATAAATAAATAAAGATTTAAAAAAATAAATTTTGGGGGCCAGGGAGATGGCTCAGTGGAATAAGCGCTTCCCTGGCAAGCACAAGGGCCTGAGTTCAATCCTCGGTTCCACCAAAAAATAGATAAATAAAATAAATAAATTTCCATCACTTCCTTAAATAATAAATAAATGAATAAAAATAGAATCATGAAGGTATTGACAAATGACAATTCATTAGCTGGGCGTGGTGGCATATAACTGTACTCCCAGCACTCCAGAGGCTGAGGTAGGAGTATCACTGTGAGTTTAAGACCAGCCTGGCCTACAAAGTGAACTCAAGGCTACAAAGTGAGCTGAACTACAGAGTGAGACTCTGTCTTCAAAAGAAAAAAAAAAAAAAGGCAACCTATTTCTGGGTATAGAAAGCTAAAGCTAGACACCCTCTAGGGAATACCTGCCTCCGACTCTGTAAGTTGTTCTAACATCACCCCCTAAAGAATCAGGACACTCCACCCCTAGTGAGAACCCTGGATGTAGGCTAGACACTATCTTGTGTTTTGGTCCTGGATCTAACAAGAATTTGGGTGTAAGACATGGGAAGCAGACTGCAGCAAGGAGATCATGAGTTTAAAGCCAGCCTGGGCCACAAAAAGAGACTCTGTCTCAAAAAAGCAAAAGAGGGGGTCAGGGAGATGGCTCAGTGGGAATAAGCACTTGCCTGGCAAGCACAAGGGCCTGAGTTCAATCCCCGGTTCTACCAAAAAAAAGCAAAAGAGGAGAGAGGAAAAATGACAGGGTAGAAAATACCCTGCTTGAGAGGATGGGGAGATGGTTCAGTGGAATAAGTGCTTCCCTGGCAAGCACGAGGGCCTGAGTTCAATCCCCAGTTCTGCCAAAAAAAAAAAAAAAAAAAAAAACCTGCTCAAAAAATAACAAAATGCATATCAGTTAATCTCATACTTGCATATGTGAACAATGATGTATGCAAAAAATTACTAAGACAGCAGTGTTGTGAACAACTTAACTATTTGTCAGTGAACACATAAGTTAAATAAAGGTAAAACCATACAACTCTAAATACTTTTGAAAAAATGAGCCAGATCTATATAATTCGAAGTTGGGAGGGCCATGTACACGTGTACGCTTGGATGTCCATGGCCTATTCCTTATGGAACAGTGCTTGTTTCCAGGTGGGTACTGGGAAGCTACAGTTCAAGGGAAAGAGATGACCTGCTTTGTACTGCAGTCTTACACTATTTGCTATTTGCACTTTCAATCATATGCATGTATTAACTGCAAAACCTTTTTGAAATAAAAGGGAGAAGTGGGGAGGGAAGAATGGATGGAAAAAAATAGTAACAACCCAAAAATAATCATTGCTTCCACATGTGTTAACTAACCATTAAATGCCAAGTATAAATATATCTTTAAAAATCTTTAAAGGCATGTCAGTTGTGTCCAGATAACAGCCACTGCCAGGGCTCTGGGAAGGAAGAGCTCAGGCAAGAAGCCCACTAACCAGTGCTGCCGTGTAATCCTTCCATGTCGTACCTTTCTGATTGTCAAAAGAAAATAACGCTGCTACTGGAGCCACTACCACACATACATTAAAACTATTTAATCTTTTGAAACATAGTTTATGTTCAGGTAAGGTCACAGGCACTGCATACATTATTTTCTTTCTTTCTTTTTTTTTTTTACATACATTATTTTAGAAAGTGCAGGTGTTTAGATGTGCTTACTTTTGAATGGGAAGTGTCATGAGATCTCGATCCAAGAAGAGCCTCAGAAGGAAGTCGTGAACGTCTCCAAGAGTTTCAGGGCCTCCCATGTTTAGCATTAATATTCCTGTTTTGGGTTTCCTATGTGAAAATCAAAGGCCAACAACAGCTGATCTGTCGCACTTTAACTTCCCTTTAGGACAGAAACTTAGTTCAGTAATCAAGCGCTCATCTAATCTGGATGCAAAAGTGAAATCCACACACCTCTTTGCTGTTATCACTCGGCTGTCACTTGGGAGCCCAGGAGCATGCCACGTCCCCACCACCTCACTCCCACTTGGCCCTTGTCTCCCAGGTCCTTCCACAACACTGGTCTTCCTTGAGCTCAAGCTGTTTCCCCATAAGCCTGCTAGCCCCGAGCACATCAAACTCTTTACAGACTGGGAGTCAATTTTAGAAATCTAAAATTGTTCTGAGGCTGAAGAACCCACGCGTGTTAGTGCCTAATGAATATGCAAACTCCAAGTTCCCTCACCTGCTAAGGCCCACCACCCATCCCAAAAGGTTATTTTGAGGGCCTGGGGAGATGGCTCAGTGGAATAAGCACTTCCCTGGCAAGTGCAAGGGCCTGAGGTCAATCCCTGGTTCCAGAAAAAAAAAAAAAAAAGATTATTTTGAGATTCAGTGGACAAAATGTCACTTAGCATGATCCAACACACAGGAAGTTCTATCATATAGAAAAATTCCCCTGTAATTTTATTGGTATACTTTGTCTGCTTGTTCGTTTTTCAGTATGAGGATTCGAACTCATAACCCTGTGCATGCCAGATAGGTGCTTATGCTCAGCTGTCTCCCCAGACTTCCCCTGTAATTTTAAATCTCTGTAGTGTAGCAAGAGCCCATCCTTCACTCTGCATCTGCTTCCTTCTCTTTAATGATTAATTAGTCCTAGCTTACATTTTTTTCTTGAAACTATGCTTCCTTTTCTAGTACTTGCCTTTGCTCCTTATTTCCTGCTATGATAAATCACATCTCTTGTCTGCATTCACCTCTCCATCTTTCCCATAAATCTATCACTTAGATAATTCCTGCAAAAAATTATGCTAAACATTCAAATCCATTCTAAGCTAAAGAATCAAGCATTGCATGCATAGAAAGAAGCAAAAGGAAAACAAGATTCTATAGCAAATGTTTTAAATCAAGTAGCTCTGGGAAATGGAAAAAAAAAAAAAAAAACAACACAGAAATGCCAAACACAAATGTACACTCAACCCCATACAGCCTGAACCTACACAGTCTGCAGGGAACCAGGCTAGGAGTTCTCTACTCCCAAATGCCACCAGGAGCAAGGTGAAGCCCAGAACAGAGCCAACTGCCTCTAGCTACACCGGGAGCTTCCAAAGACCACAGTGAGAGACTGGGAACCAGAAGGTCAGAGTCTGAGCTGGGCCATGGAGGGCCAGGGGCCTTGGAAGTCCCCACGAGGGCATAGTTACGTGATGGCAGTGATAAAAGCCAAAAGCTGCTGAAATGGCTCTTCTGGTAGTCTGTTTGCATGTGTGTTAAAATGAATGATACTCTAATGACAATCTTAATTGGCAATTTTTAAAACTTGTTAACAACTTTTAGCAATAATGTTATGCAGCAGAGTGTTAAATCTAATTGTGGAAATAATTTTTTGATGAAACATACTATAGGTGAATGAAGTAGAAATCTGAATTCTGCCTAAGAACCAATTCACAGATAAGGAGAACTATTATAACAAAGTCAGAAATCTTCTGTTACAGTTTGTGTCTAAATGTCCCCTTTTTGCAGCCATGGGGTGGGCTTCTACAGTTTGTGATTAATTCATGGTCCAGTGCTGGGATTAAGAGTGTGAGTGCTGGGCTGGAGAGATGGCTCAGTGGTCTAAAGCACCTACTCGGAACAAGCTTGGCAAAGCACAGGGACCGCAGTTCAATCCCCCAGCACCACATGCCAGCGAGCCGCGCCCCCTGGTGGGCTGAGCTGGCCACACACACACAATGAATAAATAAATAAATAAAAATTTAAAAAAAAAAAAAAAAGTGTGAGTGCTACACCCACCCTAGGTTGGGTAGTCTACATACAATATAAAGAACAGAAAGAGGCTCTTCTCTCTGTCTCTCTGTTTCTCTGTCTGTCTCTCCCTCCTTCCCTCCCTCTTTATCTTCCTCCCTCCCTCCCTCCTTTCATCTCCCTCCCTCTCTTCTTTGTTCTTACTGCTTTTGCTGTTTCACCAACATGAACCGTTGGCCCTCTGCCATGTGCCACCTTGACTTGGAGCCAGCTGATTATGGATCAAAACCTCCACAAACTGTGGCTAAATAAACTTTTCCTTCCTTAATTTTGGGCCTCAGGTATTTTGTCTCAGCCATGAGAGAGAAAAGTAACCAAGATATCCTCTAATTTAGATAAAGATGAACTAAAACCATTTGTCACATCTTTGTCTTCCCCCAGGGTTTCTCAGCCTTGGCACTGACCTTTCGGGCTGGATAATCCTTTGCTGCAGGGCACTGTACTGCGCAGTGCAGGCTGCTCAGGAGCGTTCCCTGCTTCTGCCTACCCACGACTCCAGGTGTGACAACCAAAATATCTCCAGACATTGCCGTCCCTTACTGAGAACTATTGTCTCACAAAAAAAGATTTGGTTCTCTTTTTACTAAGCCAAGTAACTATGCTGAAGATGTCATTGTTAAGGAACTTTTCCACACAGGAGTCCTATCACTAAATTCACAGTTGTGCTGAACTTTCTTTTCCTGCTCTTTAACAATTCCAGATGTGTCATCTTGTGAAGCTGTGATATTTCCTTAATCTTTGTACTTAAACCACCAGTCTTTTCCCAAGATCCTGTTTTTCTCCCTTAAACTTTGTGACTCACAATATATTAAGCACACTTTCCCATGGATTGCTGCCAGTTAACAGATTACTGGTTAAGAAACCTCAGGCGGAAAGACTTACCTAAGCCACAGAGCATATCAATGTGCAAACAGGATTTAGAACTGTTTTTCATGTGTAACACCTGAGCTCAAAACAAGAGTGGCTTTAAAGTGGACAGTATGCTGTCCCACTCACGGTTTTGCAAACCCATGTTGATTTTAGACATGAAAGAGACACATATGATTTGAAAATGCTCAAATACTCATGCATTAATTCAAACTGTGTTGTGCATGATGAATGGAGCATTAGCGAGCCCAAGCTGCCTCCGCTCTATTCCAGAATGTGAAGTGCAAAGCTTTAGTCAAGGGTCTTCGTCTCGCCTCCAACCAGATCACACCTGAGACCAAGGTCTGACTGGTCAGGTTCCCTTTGTCTGAGCTGAAGAGCGTATAAGGAAACACATTTTCAAACTTCTTCCTTAGGGATTACTATTTGATGGTGGTGATGGTGAGGCATTAGGGAATGATACACTGCTCAGAGGACTTGGGGAGCATGTGTCTTAGTGGACAGGGGTCTGAAGTACACTGGAATTTATTGAGAAACCTGTTTGCAATGACTATAGTTAATTATTGCATTTTCTTACAAAAATATATTTTGGAAAATTGTATACTATCAATTAAAATGCTATTGTGTGAAAAATAAATAAAACTTCTTCCTTATAAAGGTTTAAATGTTTTGCCACTTTTATACTCTGGGAATCTCAAAGTATGAGGTTTTCTCTTTGTACTATTAAATGTATGTAACAGAAAGTTAAACTCTCCAATTAATAAATAATAATTTTGTTCTACTATATATAATCAGCACTCTAAAAAAAAGCTCCAGCTCTTCATTAAACCTGTAAGACCTAACTGACCTGTGAATCTACGCTACCTCTAGAACAGTGTGTGGCAAACTAGAGCCCCGACATAAAATCTGCTGACTGACACACACACACACAGACACACACACACCCCATATATGTACAGTGTATATATTCATTGTGCCTGTAAACAGAGGTGTGTTGGAACATAGCTCCACTCACGGACTATTTATGGCTACTTTCACATGACAATGGCAGAAGTAAAGCACAATGAAAGAGACAGTATAACCTACAAAGCCTGCCTGGGCAACCCACCCTCTGCCTTGTCTATGCTGCACGGCATGGTTGGCACAAGAGGTATCATTAACACTACCCTGTGCTCTTTCCTACACAGCATTCGGCTGGGCGTGTTCGAGTACCACCCAAATAAGTCATAGCTGTTAATAACTATACAATGATCCAGGCATGATGGTGCACATCTGTAATTAGTTAGGAGGCTGAGGCAGGAGTACCACAATGAGCTGAGGCTACCCTGGACTATGTAGTGAATTCAAAGCCAGCCTGAACTACATAGCAAGACCCTATCTTTACAAAAAAAGTATATGAGGTTAAAAGTTTATAATCTGTGGAGCTGCATTACTAGATGGCTAAGGCCACTAGTTAGACATGCCTATAAATTATTACAGCTATTGTAAACCTGCATAAAATAGATTTTACAGCCCCTAATCTAGTAACCATCTAGTCTACTGTGGTCTAAGAACTAAGCAGCGTGATGCCTTTAAAGGTCTGATATCAGAATAACACAACAGGACACTCATTGCTTCAATATCTGCAATATTGAAAAACTAGAAATAGGGGCTGGAGAGATAGCTCAGTGGCACAGTGCAAGGTCGTGAGTTTGATTCCTGATGTCAAAAAATAGCTGAAAACCTAGAAATACCCTGTTCAGGATGAGAATGAATAAACAATGATTTAATAAAATACTCCAAAGCTAGTAGAATATTTATAGTTGTGATGTCATATTACATAAAGAGGAAGACTTGGGTATACACAGTGTCATCACATATTGATAAGTACAGTACATCCTAAGTGAATGTCAAGAGACAGAGGCAAAATTTTAAGTGGTAAGATTGTCAGCAACTTTGTTTCTATCAGATAATCTTTTCTTTTCTTTTAGAACAAAATAGATGTTTCTTCTAGACTACATGATATAGTGTGGTACAATGGATGGATAATATGAATAACAAATAACACAAGTATATTTTATTTGAAATAAACAAGGCCAGGAGATGGCTCAGTGGAATAAGCGCTTCTCTGAAATAAACAAAAAATGCTAACATGAAGTTCTTTAATAGAATCTGGGGCTTTTTTCAATTTGTATCTAATTCCAATAACTGAATATGAAGACTATATTACTGAATAATACAATAATGAAATAATTTTTCTTGCAGGGGCCTACATTGAATCAGTTTATAACTGACTGAATCTGCTTATATCAATACTTATACCAATGCCTAGGGCAGAGGTGGAAGAGGGCTCAGCGGGCGCCAGAGGTGATGTCTGGGCTTCTCATCTTCCTCAATAACTCCACTGTGTGGAGCGCAGAGTTCAGAGATAATTTGAGTCTCTAAGCCTAATGCCCCTCCTTAACACACCTCAGTTTCCTTAGCACTCAACCAACAAGGCCATGATCACAATGATTAGAAACAAACATAAAATGAGAACATTTTATTATCATTGCTGTATTTCTTAGACCAACATCTAGTCTGGCAGAAAAGGTCAAGGTGTTAAGTCTGTCACAGCTACTTCTCTTCTGTCCCTCTGCCTGGTGTTAAAGTGAGCTGTTTCACCTAAGCAAATTCTCTTAGTAAAATCTGCTATAGTTGATTGTAGCTGAGAACACTCAGCACTATTACACCTGCTGCCCTGCACGAGCAAGTGCTGGGGATTGAACCAAAGAGCTTACGAACTCTGGGCAAGCACCACCACTGAGCTACATCCTCAGCCCTCTCATTTTTTAAATAAGTTCTAACCCACAGTGTGTCATTTATAAATATGTTCAGATGTTAAAAGATGAAAAACAGTGGTACGTTCTGAAGGACTTCTTGGTAGGTTACTCTTTATCCTGTACAAGATACACATGTATGGACATAATTAAGTTAATAAATGTTTACAACATACACATGATTTGTGTATATGACATACTGTAGGACCAAATTCTTACACAGTTTGCAGTCTATTGTCCTCAACTATATGTTCTTTAACAAAAGCTCAGTTGAAGAGATGGCGTGTTAAAACCTGTAGCTGTTAACAGCAGTCAAAAGGAAGCCAAGAAAATAACATTTCATTCCTAACATCCTGGGTTTTCCCAATACCTTTCCTCCTAGGTAGCTTGCATCCACTGGTGTTTACAACAATCAAGAGAAATCCTTACTTGTACCTAAAATTGGACTCATACCTCTTTTCTGGTTGAACTTCAGGCTTTGCACTTTTAGCGCTCTGAGCTGACTCTGTGGTAGTGGTCACTGCTGCTGCTGTACCCAACTGGCACCTCCATGGCTGATGGGTCCTCAAGCCGCCATGCACCACTGTGACAAAATTAAAGTGTCAGTGTGAAATCTAGCTGGAAAGTAATTTCTTTTGAAGAGGTCCTCAGGGCATAATTCCTGGCTTTAAAATTTAAAGAGATGGGATGGCAGAGGTGATTTTCCTAGCATTTCTCTGCAGGCAGGTAAAGGCACTTAAGGCCTTTCCAAGGGGATAGGATATCGGATGGCTTCTGAGAGCCTGCAGGGAGGCTTTTTTGAAGCCACACACATACACTTCCTCTCCCTGCATTGGCTGCAGATTTTAAAATGATTCTTCACAAGACTGCTGCACATTCTGAATATTACTGATAGTAGAACAATGCTCAGAGAAGAGGCCAGGGGCCCAGAGAAAAGGTGAAGAGCCACTGACGGAGGGAAGGGAAATCACACCACTCTCCAATGAGCTACAGATTTCACTTCTGACATTAAACCTTTCCTAGTAAAACAGTGTAGGAACCCCAGTATTGCCCTGGGATCCTACAAGGGGAAATGATGCTTTAAGGGTCTGCTTAGCCCTCTTCCTCACTGCACCCTGCCTGCATGACGCTTGCAGTCTGCACCGGCAAGATGTACCTCTCCCAGAGTCCACACCCAGTCCACACATCCAGCCCCAGGATCTGAGAACTCCCTGTCAGCCCAAGTTTTTTTTTTGAACCAACCCCCTAAGAACAGATCATGCCTTGTTCACTTGCCGTGTTCTGTGGAGGATCACCTGAGCTATTCTCCTTGTAAGAAGAGCAACTGTCACCATTTTGGCTGTACCTCACCCTATTTCTATGTATTGATATGTACAGAGCTGGCTAGGACTTTTCCTTATCCCTTCAATTGGCTTTAAGCATGCATATTGGACTAGCTAAGGTGCAGGTGGTAGTCTTTGAAGACAGCGCACTGTTTCCCTGATAACCCACACCTGCTGCTCAAATAAGAACCAGGTTGAGACAGGACAAAGAGCCAATGCTCTACGCTGTCCACTAGGATCCAGCCTCAAGATAGAGGCTATAACATCCTGGGGCTTGAAAGATTATACCTCAGAGCTGAAGCACTGGACCCCAAAACATTAGATACCATCTCAATAGTATAATGCAATTTACTTTTTCTGCATATCCTTCTCTCTACATATGATAGAGGTATGTGTAGGCCTCCTACCTAGCTCAGCTCATTAGTACTCATCTCCTTCCTGCCATCCTCAGTCACTCATCCTCAAGCCACTCCTCCTTCATGACTGAATAAAACCCAGGTTCAGCCCTGGATTAAGGCCTTTGTTCTGGATAGCCATCACCATGGCAAGATTTAGGACCCCTTGGCTCCCCATAACTACAAATATACTTTAGTGTCTTTATTCTCGCCATGTGTGGCACTGGAAGTGTTAGATTGGAATTAACTTGGGGCTGGGAGATAGCTCAGTAGAATAAGAGCTTGCCTGGCAAGTGCAAGGCCTTGAGTTCAATCCCCGGTTCCAAAAAACAAACAAACAAAAAAAAAAAAGTACCACTTATTGGAATTAACTTGATGGGATTCCAATAACTTATCCACGGGATACAAATACAAACTTCATGGACTGATACGAAAACCAAGAAGGGTTCCCTATAATGTTCAGTTGTAGCATGAAGATTGTTAGTCTTAAAAATACAGTTAAGAGTAAACTGAGGGGGGGCGGGGAGATAGCTCAGTGGAATAAGTGCTTCCCTGGCAAGCACAAGGGTCTGAGTTCAACCCCCGGTTCCACCAAATAATAATAATAATAATAATAATAATAATAATAGAGTAAACTGAAACCACACAGTAGGTATTAAATAGGGCATTGTGGGACCATGGCTGCCACCTTGTCCCCTGTGGCACTTGACATCCATCCCCACTGGCACTCCAGCAGATTAGAAATAGTTTGTGATAAGTCTCAGACATCTCTTAGACAATAGTACTGAGAAGGAATTTAGGCTGTAAACCATTCTGAATTCAGCTGTCACTTACTAGCATTGTGACCTGTGGCCCAATTATCTTTCTGAACCTAAATTTCTCCAACAACAAAATGATGACACCTTGATACTGCAACTCTTATGAGGATTAAAGCAGGTAAGATCAGTAAAGTACTCTGTAGTGTCTGCCCCATAATTAGTGTTAGCATTGGTTTCACCTGTAAGTTTTTAGACAGTAGGATCTAATACTGCTCTGGTTGCTAAGAAATCACCCAACACATGTACAACATATAGGAAATGGTGTTTCTAGGACACTTAGATGTCCATCTACCCAAATAGTTCCTACTCCCAACAGAGGCAGTTAGATAAATTTGCGCTAAATAATCCTTAATATGTCCATTGGAAATGCAAAGACTGACACAAAGAAATGCAATTACAGGTTGGTGAGATAGCTCAGCAGTATAAAGCACCTGCTTAGGCAAGCTTAGGCAAGAGCACGGACCATGATTCGATCCCCAGCACCACATACCATGCCAGTCCCACTCCCAGGGTGGGCTCAGCTGGCCACAAAATAAAATAAAATCCAATGATTAAAAAAAAAAAAGTGTTCAACCTGCAAAAATTAAATACATTTAAAAAAGAAATTCAATCACATTGAATACAAATCTCATTTTGAACATATTTAATTGCAAACTACAAAGTGAGATTTAACCAGATTCTTAACCATGCTGCAGTGTCCACAATTGCCTATATAAATCAGATCATCAGATTCTAAGGAGTATGAGAACAGAACTTTGGTCTTCCATAATTTGACTGTTGGTCATGCATAAGATTACATCCCACAAACCTAGAGGAGGAGGAAGATGAGGTGGGACTACATTTTCCAACTAGTGAGAATTTACTACTTTGGGAAGCAGTACCTTCTCAAGCTGTTTAACATGATTACCATGTCCTTAAAAAATTCTCTTCTCTATGGCCAATAAAATCCTCAGCTAGACCATGATGCTGCTAACAGGGGATCCTTTCTACATGAGACTTGTAAATACACTCATTCTTCAAGGATCTCTCTGGAACACCCCCTCCACTAACCAGCTAAAGTTTCCAGCAGAGTAAAGAGTGTTTGCTATCAAACTATTAGTTTGTCTAGCTAAAAGGGTTTAAAGTAAACATTCAAAGGACAAACTGAGACACCTTAATGAACTAAGCTCACAGCTAAAGAGAACTTAAAGGCTCAGGCAGGACTGCATAGTACATAATGTGCTGTGGGCCCAGAGAGATCTGAGCAGAAATGTAACACAGGATGATGGAGCTGTCAGCCACACTGAGCAACTCACTGAGCTACTGCAAGCCTCGCTTCTCCCATGTGTGAAACAGTGATAAGGCCAGCCTTATGGGCCGTTGTGAAGATTGGGACCCAGGGAGGGAGAATCTATGTTTGGCTCCAGGACCAGTGACTGACATACTGTGTGTGGTCAGACAGACAGGTCAGTAATATTCAATTAGTACAGACTTAACCACTTACAAATGAAGAGCCTGCACTGCTACTCTTTAAATGGACAACTGGTATACCTGTAAAAGGTCTACAAACAACAAAAACTATCAAGGTGAGAGATATCCAAAAGAGATGATGTTAGAAAACAAAACTTTATAACTCCTGAACAAACCCAATACGGAAAGCAAACATATGACTTAAGAACTTAATGAGTACTAGCTGGGTCTTCAAAATCAAATTATTTTAATAGTTTGGATGTTTGGAGATAGACCTGGAGAGGACAGACAAGTCCTTAAGTACATAACAGAGCCATTTTCTATCATATAAGAAATGGAGATTATTTCCAAAAAATTATGATAAAATATATTTATCATTTTAAAACTACTTGTAGAGGGGCTGGGGAGATGGTTCAGTAGGATAAGCGCTTGACTGGCAAACGCAAGGATCTGAGTTCAATCCCCGGTTCTGCCAAAAAAAAAAAAAACCTACTTGTAGAGCTTGAAACTATTGTTTGAAGCAAGGTACAATTCCCCTATGATGAATGCTATCACTATGTATATATAAAAAGTACCAATAAAAAAATTCAAAAATAAAAATAAAACTACTTGTAGAAATAAGGTTCTACACTGTGAGAATTGATAAATACAGACCTGTAAGGGAGCACATTTAAAAGAGTTGCTACTTTGTGGTGTGAAGCCAAAATATTTCCTAATGATTTTATTTTATTTTTTCCTAATGGTTTTATTCAAACATCAAAATCATTTCTATTGTCTGAGATACTTCTCTAATTACAAAAGACATACATTCTCAGTATAAAAAATTTTTTTCAGTATAAAAAATTAGAAAAAATGAAATAATTCATATAAACATGTATGTACATATGTATGTATGTAGAGATATATATCTCCATGGCCCACCCTATTCCCCAAACTTATTAATTTGATACTATGTTAAAACATAGAATATAAAACTTTGGCTTTTTACTTCTAGTTTCATAATTCATGTTCAGAAGTGATCTTTTATTAATCAAGATTAAAGCACTACAATTATACCTTAAATCACAGAAGTGAAATTAAAATACTCAAGTTTCTGAGAACTTGCACTTAATTACTTGTAATTTAAACAGCACCTAATTTAATGTTTCTAGTACTGTTCCATGACCTCTGGCTTAGGGTCTGTCAGGCTTTATTTGCCACTGGGAACGTTAAGATTAATTCAATACTTCCTTTAGCCCTACTGTCACTGTCCCGCCTCTTAAAAGATAATGCCTTTGTCTTTGTACGTGGGGTCCTTCATATTTTCCCACCAAAGATACCTGTAATAAGTTCTCAAGGTTCAGAGTGGAATCTCTCCACACCCAGCAGGTGCGGGACCAATGAATTAGGGAATTCCTCTGAAATATAAGTCTGTGTCCTAAGTCCAAATGCATTAAACATTATCTTTGAGGCAACACTGGATATGACTAGGTGTGCGCATTTCGGGGATCTTTATACATCTCCTGTATGCCAGGCACCCTGCTGCCTGCCTCACTTAAAATCCTTTGAATCTATGGCAAGCCCATCGGCTCATCCAGTTGACACAGCTACACTCGCAGGACGCAATAGCAACGTTCGAGGTTGTCTGCCCCACCGGGTTCCTGCCGCCCAGAAGTGACTTCAGGGCTGCGGCGGGGCAGCGCAGCAGGGGCACGCCGGGCCCCATCACGGGACAGAACTGCTGTGCGGAGGCTCTTGGGGTTATGATGACGGTGCCTGTGTCACTGTGCTCTCGGTGACAGGCTCTTTACCACTTCCCTTCCGTACTGCCCAAAGCAATCTTGTTCTACCGAAGACAAGAACTAAGTCGCTGACTGCTGGCCTCGAACCCGCGCCTCCCAGTGCCCTCTGGGGCCCTCGCTGCTCCCCTCGCCTCCCTGCGCCAGTTGCGCCCCAGTCCCCTCTCCGCCACGGAAGCCCGTCGCCGCTCCCGCAGTGTCCCGGCCCGGGCACCCCGGCGTCGGAGGGACCCCCGTCCCGGCGGCGGGCGAGTCCGCCCCACTTACACCGACCCTGGAGCAGGCCGCTTGCAGCTCGCAAGGCCGCAGCCATGTTTGTGCCCGCCGAAAGCATTTCCGGAGCAGCCTGGACTGAGACCCGCGGTGCCGCCAGGTACCGGCCCAACTAGCGCGGAACCAACCCACGAAGCGCCGCCCACCAGGGGCCCAGTCCCTTATCTTGAGCCACAGCACTCTCCTTACCCGCCCCTCCCCGGGTTCCCGACTCGCACTTGCTCATTTGCTGTCGGGTAGGGGCGGGGCCTGAGGCAGACACGCCCCCTCAGGGAGTCAGTCCATTCGCTGCCGGGGCAGGGCGGGACCTCGCACGGTGGAGAACCAGTCCACGTTCCCGGCCGCCCTGCGGGGGCGTGGCCTAAATGGTAGGCCGGGTGTCCAGAGGCAAGCCCCTTTCCTAGAGCCAGTCTGGCTGCAACGTCCCGTGAACTGAAAGGCCGCTAGGTGAGAGCGTCCCATCGATCGTTGGCGGGGCATCGGAGTCCCTGTAGACTCCTTGTTCTGGAAGATCTGCTTGCTCTGGAAGATCTACCAACCTGGCCGAGGCAGATATTACAGCCACGATTCAGCAAAAGATTCTCTATTAGACATTTTCATCACCATTAGATATGAGGATGCTTTTGCCTCGGTTCTCCAGTTTGCCTATCTACTTAACAGCACAACTGTGCACTGTTTTGATTTTATTTCAAGAAAAAAAAACAAAAAACAAAAACACAGAGGTTTCTTTTATATTAGTCATTCGTGTCATTATCCAATCTCTCTGCAGCACCTCTATGTAGAAGTTGGACAGGTACGACAAGATGAATCTTATACTGTTAATATGAGAACATATTTAAGAAAAGTGAAGGTCGGACTCGCAAATGCAGTTCTTAGACGAATCCTTTGGTGCAGTTTAGCCGCCCAGCCCCCAAGATGGTACGCAGAGGCAGCAACAGCAACAACCCCCGCCCCACTTCTAGCCATTCCTCGCCTCTACCAGCCAGCCAAACCTGCCCCTGCGAGTTCAGTGCTTCGTCGATACAATCCCAGGCCTGTTTTAAACGCAGGCATCATTCACTAGACAAACTTGGAGTACTTATTATGGGAAAACAGCAGCGAAGGATGCCATGAGGCTTGTGTTGGAGTTAGCGAAGAGACCAAAATAATTCCAGTGTGTAGTAGTTTGAATGCTAATGAGCGTTAAATTAAGATGAGGGAGATGGAGGCTGGAGGGGCTTGTAATTTGAAACTGATGGGTTAAAGAAGTCTTTGGGTAAAGGCTAAAGAAGGCAAGGCAGCAAGAGTCTAGATCAACTTAAAAACCAGTTTTCTCAGTGGCTGGAGAGATGACTTAGTGGAATAAGTGCCTCCCTGGCAAGTGTAAAGGCCTGAGTTTAATCCCGGTTCCGGTGGGGGGGGGGGGGGGGTTTTTTGCCGTCGGCGGGGGGGGGGGGGGGGCGTGCGGGGGGAGAGGGTCCGGCCCACGCTGCGCCTGGGGGGACTAGTTTTCTCTAGCTAATGTGTATACTCTTAGCTGAATTAGTTTTTTTTTAAAGTTTTGGTACAGGGTCTTTGCAGCTCACACTCCTACTGATCCTCCTGTCTCAGCCTCCTCAACACTGGGATTATAGGCATGTGCCCAGTGTAAAATGTCGCATTAATTATTTTTCGTATTAACTAGATGATCTCCAAATCCAAGCCGGATGTTCCCTGAGAAAAAGATAGTTAAGCTTGCGGTAAAGATCAAACTGCCTTCCTATAGATTTTGTAGAACCCTTTCTTCCTGAGCTCCATCAAATGGCTCTATTCCACATTCTGACATACTGCGCTAGAAATTTATAGAAAGCCAGAGAATTAGAAAAGGTCTGTGGTTGAAGACATCTGATCTAGGTGATATACCTCGGAGTGCTTCTGGGAGGCCTGGGCTAAGTCACCCCACCCATGCTGGGTGCTGAGTCCTTTCTGCTAGGAGGTGATAACAGGGGCTTTTAGGCCCTCCCAAGAATGCTGATGCTTAGTGATGATGCATAAAGGGGCCAAATCTCATAAAACCAATAGTTGGCGCAGGTGGAATTTCTATTTGACCAGAAAGAACAAAACCAGCAAAAAAAAAAAACCCAACAAACAAAGCATTATTACATATAGCCATGTAGAATTTTAAAAATGAATTAGCATCGGGGCCGGGGAGATGGCTCAGCAGAATAAGTGCTTACCTGGCAAGCACAAGGGCCTGAGTTCAATCCCCAGTTCTGCAAAAAAAAAAAAAAAAAAAAAAGAATTAGCATCATTTCTTTCACATATGGCACTGTCCTTTTGACTTTAAAAAAAACTAAAATCCCTGTGTGTAAAGCCTCTTAGTATATAGTCATATTTATAATTGAAAACAAACCTTTGTTTTGCTCCAACAGAGTACCGTAACACTTGTTATTTCTAATCTATAGCCTATTTTTTAATAAACATTTCCAGGGACTCTTTATGTTCCTGTGAAATAAAAGTAGATATGTTATACAAACTTTTTTAAAACTGGTGGAGCATGGCCCTTAACCCAGAAATCATGAACTATGGATGCAGAGCTAGATGGGTTATCTATGTATACATATGAATTTTTTTTTCTGGCTTACACATTTTTAATAAAATTATATACCAATTCAATTACCAAACAGAAGACTAAAAAGCACAGTGTCTTGGCTGACTCAGATAAGCAGCGCCCCTGTCACAAGGGAGAGGGTTTGTCTGAGCCTGGGTGACTTAATTAGTGCATAAAGCACTCGCCTGTCACAGACAACACTCTGAGTTCAGCCTGTGGTTCTAAATAAAATGAATTTGTTGGCTTCAGCTCAGTGCTTCAGGGAAGGAGAGGGGGTGGTGATCCCTTAATTCATTATTTGCCATGATTGGCACCTCTGAGCTATACCAACTAAATTTAGATTACTCAATTCTGTCTCCTTAATCAGAAGAGAATGGGGAGGGGGCTCAGCACAAGAGAAACAGTAGCTGCGTGTGACAGATGCTAAGATATAACAATTACTCGGAAATCTGATCAATTATTTCCACAACCATTTCACAAAGAGGTCACTAAACCCAGGCCAAAATGATGTGCAGTTTTATTTACCCTTCTTAACCACATAGCCTAGAGCTACCAGTGGTGGTAAGTTATTAATGTAGCTGCAGATATTTAATATCCACTGGGAACAAAACATTATAGCGGGTAATGGAGAAGATAAAAAGGAAAATTTTCTTTAAAACTACTTTTAGGTAGCTCATTCTTTTATGAAATAAATATGTGTAAGGTGCACTCTCCAGCAGGCACACAGCGGGCAGTGGGCAAACAGCAGCGATGTGGACAGTCACAGAAGTGACACTCTGTGAAGTGAGGAAGTAAGGCCGGCAGTCGTCCATGACAGAGATAAAGCATACACGATACAGTGTCACTGAGGCTAGGGATCTGGAAGAAAAACAAGGAAGCAAAAGAAAGCCAAGAGCTACAACTGCTAGCTTTAGTGGTACTGCCAGACATGGCCACCTCACTATGGTGGCATCTGAACAGGGATCCCTGGGAATAGGGGAGGCTGGCTGAGAAAGAGCTTTGGAAACTGAGGGAGCAGCAAATGCTGGGAAACCTCTGGTGTTTGAATTAGTTTCCTAAGGTCACTCTAACCAAGTGTCACAAATGAAGTACAGAAATTTTTTTGTTTTCCACTTCTGAAGACAAGAACACAAAATTAAGGTGTCAACAGGGCCATACTTTCTCTGAAACTTGTGAAGGTGAATCCTTCCTCGTCCCTTCCTAGCTTTGGGTGGCAGCCAGCAATTCCTGCGTTCTTTGGCATCCTTAGCTTGCAATGGTTGCATTATTCCAGTTCCTATTCCGATGTCAAATGGCAGACTCTACACGCCATCTTCCTCTTTTATACGGATATGGCACATTGTATCAAAAAGGTCACACATTCAGGTACAATAGGCTAGGATGTCAACTTCCTTTAGGGGACAAAATTCAACCTGTAACAAGGCTGCTGGAGAATAGTAGGGAAGCCTCATGGCCTTGGATTAAACCACGGCCCACTGACCTAAGACCCTAGAAGGGATAAAAGGTCTTCTAAGTGGCTTCTTTCTAGCAGAGGGAGGGTGTATCTCTCACTGGGCCGGTAGTGCAGGGGACACACTGGAGCTCCTGAGCCAATCAGTATGAAGATGTAGACTACATGGGTAGATGCATTCACTTCCTCCCCTGAGTTGTGATTATCTTGCGCTCATATTCAGTGAGAGTGGTTTTTTTCTGACTTTCCTGTCCCCAGGTAGTAGAAGGGTCCCTACAAAGCCTTTCTGGGATGCCTTTGCCAGGACCCAGCAATGTCACCAGCCTCGGACAGGTTGGTGTTCTCAGCAAAGTGTCCTCCATTTTGCAGGTACCCAGGAAAGTGCCTTTTCCCAAGAGGCTTTTACTCTTAACCTAGAGCTCTAGGCAGTAGCAACCTTCTTTGTCTCTTTGGGTTGGAAGGCCAGTTTCCTGGATTTCTCCTCATAGAAAAAAACCAGGCTTTTATGCTCCTTTCACAAGGGGGATCTGGCCCTGGCTGCAGCTTCCTGTTGAGTGCTATACCTGAATAAAGTTTAAAAGGCTCCTCAGGGCCTTTGTCTGGGTTTAGTTCTCCCATTAGGCACTGATCTAACACCTCTGCCTTTTTTTTTTTTTTAAAACCTCTCTGCTTCCTTCTCTCCAATTCTGAACTCCTGAGATATCTTCTCACAGTCAGCTAAGATGGGGGTAGGGAGATATTTATCCAGTAAATTTGGCAAGCAAATAAATGTAGGTTCAGTAACATAAAGCATACTAAGAATGCTTGGGTGAGCTTACTCTCATTTAGCCAGCAGGAAAGAGAATTAGTGACGATGTTTTCCATTTATGTAGTGCCACATTACCTCTAATCACTGTAGCTGAAACCATTTTGGAGACAGTATTATTCTATTTTATAGATGAGGAAAAGTCACAACGGTCCTGTGGCTTGTCTAAGGCCACAGCTAGCAAGGGACAGAGCCAACACTGGAACCCAAGTGCATCTGGTTCCAGGTCAGGGCTTGCTCCATTGCTTCAGGTTGCATTTCAAGAGACAGAGAGAAAAAAATGGCAGCTAGCAGGGGCCTGGGAGCCCTCAGAGTTCCAAGCCTTCAACTTTATATCACTGGTCTGTCATGGGTTTATAAGAGCTATTATCAGCAAATGTGAGACAAATACGAATTCAGATTCATAGGTTAATTTCAATACATGAAGGACATTCTTTAACAGTCTACGCTCAAGAAAAATGGCTATCTTCCTGTTACCATGACTCAGGATCACTTCCAACTTTTTAACAATTACTTGCAGCTTTCTTTTCTCTATAAAGAACAGTGTCCTTCCTAACAACTCGTTGAACGTTTCCTTCCCTTTGCTTATGCCTGCTCCCTTCCGACTTGTTCTCAAACAGTAATGAGCTCTGGGTAAAGAGGGGAGCCTGAGTCTCGGCTATAGTTTCACTCTGTTCCCATACGCTGTGGGGACACCAACAGAGGTTCACATGGCAGCGCTCTGCTTCCAAGCACAAACCTAAAAAGATGGGGAAAAGGGAACACAGCAACAAAATTTTACAAGTTGGAAGGCAGATGAATAAATGCTTAAAGACTCAGCAGGCGTAGGAAGACTGAGTCTAAAATTGGCCATCTTAAGACAAGAGCCATCAAGAGAATCCCTAGGCATCTCAGGGTTGGCAACAGCAGGGGCCTCCATTACTGGAGATGAAAAAGAAATGCCAGAATAAAATGGACTCAGTCTACTAAAATGGCCTAGAGTACTCAAGATTCCTCCCCTTCCCTCTCCTCTGCTAACTAGATGCTTGGTTTCTAGAGATTTGGCAAAAAGCTGTAGACTACAGACCCCGGGCACAGCTGAGAGTAGGAGCACACTGCCAAGTGCAGAAGGCAGTGCACTGTGCACACTTCCTCAACGCAGAGAGCCAAGCTTCCTGACTGACCCAGGCAGCTCAGCCCCAGTAAGGTTCACGCCTGCTGCCACACACTCGGAGCAGCCAGGGGACACTGCAGTCTCTGAATCACAAGAGATCACTCAGCATTATCTGACACCTGAGACAAACCTCAGGAAACAGATGCAAACAAACTGAAGAAGAGGCCAGGGATATAGCTCAGTGGCACAGCACCTGCATGACAAGCGTGAGGTCCTGAGTTCGATACCCAGTACCCACAAAGAAAAAAAAAAAAACAAACTGAAGGAAACCAACATAGAAGGAACCAGGTGATGAAAAAACTTAAGACTGGAAACCTCAAAAAGATAAATTTTCTGATACTAGAATAAGAATTTTAAACACATATACACAAACTTTATTACAGCTAAAGAAAGATCCAATAGAAAGACTGAAAAAAAATTGAAGAAAACTCCTAGAAAATAGCAGCTAAAAAGGAAGGATGATTAAAATGAGGTCTTATATTTAAATAACAAATTATACAAAGAAAACAAAACACTGGAGAGATCTCTAATGTAAGTTTATGAAACTTCCTCAAAACTGAGGGGGTGACCTTTTGAACTACAAGGGTCTATCAACTACTCAGCAGAATGGAGAACTAATTCCAAGAAATACTATTAAGAAATTTTGGGTCACTGGGACAAGCTTCCAGAAAAGAAAGGCCATGTTGAAAACAACAGACAGCGAAATGCTCAGGAATTCTCAGTAGCAACACCGGGAGCCAAACTTCAAAATTCTGATGAAAATGCTTCTGAGCCCACAGTTCCTTACAGCCGATTCAGCACAAGACTAAAAACATTTCGACCATAGAGGTACAAACTGTCAGTGGCTTTAACTTCCACAAATCCTGTCTCAGCAAACGACTAGAGGATGTTCAACCACAATTATACGGTAAACAAGAACAAGTAGATGTGTAATAAAAGAAATAAGAAGCCACATGAGAAGAATGGCAAAGGGGATATGCGGAAGATAGTGGAAAAGATCCTAGGATTACACTGATATTCAGAGGGCAACTAATTCAGATGAAAGCAGGCAGAGTGTCCATAAAACTTCTATGGGTTGGGGTGATAGCTCAGCAGAATAAGCACTTGCCAGGCAAGCACAAGGTCCTGAGTTCAATCTCCAGTTCCGCAAAAAAAAAAAAAGATAAATCTCACTTGGGCCAGGGAGATGGCTCAGTAGAATAAGTGCTTTCCTGGCAAGCGCAAGGACCAGAGTTCAACCCCCAGTTCGGAAAAAAAAAAAAAAAAAGACAGCTACTAAGTACAAGGAAAATTTGTAAGTTGAGCAAAAAGAAAAGCCATTAGAGTTTACAGCCAACCAGAATTACAATATAACTATCTAAATTGGGAAGATGGGGATGTGGAAGGGTATACATGAACAGTGAGCATGAAGAGGAAGAAATAAAATCTTTATCCTCTGCAAAAAGCCAATAAATGTCTAAAACTGAAAACTAAAGTAACATGTTACTCAGCAATATGGATAGAAGTAAATACCTAAAGAATGGACTAAAACTTTGGAACACTACCATTTCTTGGAGTTGGTGTACTGCTGTACATCTCTCAGCCTGCTCAGGGGACCCGAGGGAGATTTTCCCGAGGTTAAAGAACACACATGTGCGAGATGTCAACAGCAAGCAGCATGAAGCAGAGCACAGGTGTGCAAGAGCGAGAAACTGCTGTCATTACTCTATAATTCTTATACAAGTTATCTCATATTTACATTCTTACATAGTACCGTAACCTGTGCTAAGTCATGGTTGTCTAACTTTTCCCCACTGTGTGCCTGCAACATGCCCCTGAGCTTTGTTTTTATTTTTTGGCAGAATGGGGGATTGAACTCAGACCTTTGCACTTGCCAGGACCCTGAGCTCTGAAGCAGAGTAGTTCCCAGATACATCAGATACAAATCTGACTCTGCAACTTGTCTTTGAGGCCTCTTTACTTACATTCTCCAGGCAATTTATTTTTCTTTGTGGTACTGGGATTGAACTCAGTACCTTGTACTTGCCAGGCAGGCACTTATTCTACTGAGCTATTTCCTGGGGTCCCTCTTTACTTACATTCCGATCCAACTTACCTCTTCAAAAATGTTCTTTGGAGGGCTGGATATAGCTCAGCAGCATAAGCACCGGCCTGGCAAATGCAAGGTCCAGAGTTTGTGGTCCTGGTACCACAAAAAAAAAAAAAAAATTTTAGGCCGGCAAGATAGCTCAGTGGACTAAGCACCTGCTTAGGCAAGCACAGGGACCAGGATTTGATTCCCAGTACTGCATGTAGCATCAGCCGCGCCCTCAGGCACGCTGAGCCAGGGACAGAAATGGGGCCTGGTGGCACACACCTGTAACCCCAGCGCTGAGGCTGAAAACAGAATCACTACGAATCTGAGCTGTATAGTGAGACCCTGTACAAAAAATAAAAAAATAAAAAACGTTCTTTGGCTAATCATGCAAGACACAATCCATGATAAAAGGAAATCTTTTAGCCTTAGATGCTGAGTCATTTAATTGATTTCCAAATACTATGAATTGCACTATTTAAACATAGTATCCCTTTTTCATAGAAGAAATGAATGAAATACTACTGAATGTAGTATTCAGTAGTAGTGATGGCTTAAAATAATGCAAGCTTTGGAGTTTCTCAGCCTCACTCCAATGTTACATTTCAACTAGAGATTAGTAGTTATTAGGTAAGGGCCTATAGTAATACAGAAGGCCAAAGGTTGAGCTTATGAGGGAGTTGCCTACAGTTAACCTCACTCTACTACAGCCTTATCTGGGGAGCTTTAAAGACCCTCCCCACATCCTATCCCTGCAACTCATCAGCTGATCTAGGCTAAGGCCCATACACTACTGTTTAAAAGGTTTCCAGGTGATCTCAGAGAACAGCGAAGTTTGCTTGTGATAGAATTCAACTACTCTATATAGACTTTTAGGAATTGTTAAAAACAAAGTGAGGATAGCTCACAAGCCAAACAAATGGACTGGAATTAAGGTAGGAAGGAGGTAGAAAACTCCTTCTAGAAAGAGTTGAACATTTGGGAGGAAACACTGATATTTAAATTGAAATCATCCTTAATTTATAAAGAAGTTACATCCCCAGAAACCTAATTGAAAGTATCCTAAATCAAAAGTGCATTTAATACATATAACCTACCAAATATCACAGCGCAGCCGATCACAACTTGAACATATCCAGAACCCTACATTAGCCAATAGCTGAGCAAATCGTTTAACAAACCTATTTTGTACGTCTTTAACATCTCCTGAAAAAAAGAATCAAGCTGTATCATGTACAGGTACAAATTCTGTATAATGAATGTGACATCATATATACCTAAAATGTAGCAAAGAATTTCATAAAGCATACCATTTGGTACCATCTGTCATTTGCGCTGTCACAGTACCAGCCTCTCACCTGTTTCTGACTCTGAGGACGTCTACAACACAAGGGGCAAAAAGTGAAAGGGGTTTTTGGTGCACCAGCAGGTTTCAGGAAGAACAAGGTCAGGGAAGACAGCCCTACAGAAGCAGGAAGTGAGCAGCACAGGGGTCGAGGCTGGTGCTTGCCAGGCCCCAAAGATGGCATTTGTAGCACTCAGGGTACAGCAACCACGACAGTGAAGGAAATGAAGTACCTGGGCACGAAGTCTGCTTCTCACCACGCCCAAGGTGACCACAACCTCAACCCCGTTATCCTGCCTCTCCTGTCGTAGTGTATAATATTCAACCCATTTAGACAAAGTTTAGGTTAACTGAATGTAGCCTTTTCACTTAATTCTGATCAGGTGAATTGCCTAGTTGAAGCAAATTAGAGCACATTCACATTCTTCCAGTTTCTTTCTTCCCATTTGTGTATTTGGTACAGGGTCTCACTACGCAGATCACTCATGTTGCTTCTCGTTTTCAGCATCCCCAGCACTGGGATAACAGGCGTGCACTACCATACTGGACTCTGTCACCAGCTCAGCACGCCCCGGGGGTAGGGCCAGTGAAACATG